GGTCTCTGTTCCGCAATCTAGTGCCAATCACTGCACAGTGGTCCAGAATGCAGATTTAGGTGGAATGATATGTTTTGAGCCTGAAATTGAAACTTTAGACTAAAAGTCTCTTCTACAAAGTTGTTTCTTACAGTTAGGCCCTCATTTTTATGACAATGAATTCTAGGGTGGTTCCTATTATCATTAAAATAAAAAATCTAACTTTTTTGTTTGAATAAATTAAGGTATACATTCTTCGACAAAGTTATAGCTGAGCTAATTTCAAGCAACTTTATGGAAAATAACTTTTTTGTATCTCTTAAATTGGCCGATTTAGAGCTATTTTCTTGAATTAAGTTAGGGTGGCTCTTAAAAAAAACAGTTTTTTTTTTCTCTAGTTTTCTTATTTCAAATTTCTCAGCAAAGGTGTCTTCAGATAACTTTTAGATCTTAAGAAGGCGCAAGTTTTTGCTGCACAAAGTTTGTCAATATCTTTCGCCGATCAAGAGCTATTGACGTTTTTATACTAAAAATATGCACTTTTCAAATGTTAATATCTCTGGTTGGGGCAAAAAAAAAAAAAGTTTTTTTACGGCATTTGAAAGGGCGTATGTTGTTCTCAAATAATATGACAGGTATTGGAGGTATGTTATTTTTTAAACTCGTATAAAATCAATTTGAATTTAGTCATATTTTTTACTATATTTAGGTATATCTTTTTTATTAGAAAAGATACAGGCAACAAATTCAGGTATAAAATATTCGTCTAAAAGAGTTTTAAAATTCTCTAGAAGATAACTTTCATGAGAAATTTCAAATAAAAAAGTTATTGCTAAAAAACTATTTTTTCCAGGAACACCCTAAGTCAACTCCGAAAAATTACTCTAAAATGAGAACGTTAAGAGATAGAAAAAAAAATTTCTTCGACAAAGTTGCTTGCAATCATTTTAACTACAACTTTTTCAAATAACACATGTTTTTATTTTGTAAAACAAAAAAGTTAGTTTTAAAAATTCCCTAATTTGAGGACCACTCTAACGTTTTCAAACACCAAAAGAAGGGGACTTTTAAGAACAAAAACTTCTTCTAAGACACTAAATGTTCCAATATTGAAATAAATGTACTAGCACATTTTATATAAATTTGTCATTAGAGTGATCCTATGAAATCCATTTTTTGTCAATAACTTTTTTATTTGAAATTTATTATGAAAGTCATCTTCTAAAGACGTTTAAAACACTTTAAGACGAATGTTTTATATCTGTATTTGTTGTCTGTATCTTTTCTAATAAAAAAGATATACTCTAATATAGTAAAAAATATGAATAAATTCAAATTGATTTTATTCGAGTTTAAAAAATAACATACCTCCAATTTTGTCATATTATTAAGAATAACATACGCCCTTTCAAATGCCGTAAAAAAACTTTTTTTTGTTTGCCCCAACCAGAGATATTAACATTTGAAAAGTGCATATTTTTAGTATAAAAACGTCAATAACTCTTGATCGGCGAAAGATATTGACAAGCTTTTTGGAGCAAAAATTTGCGCCTTCCTAAGATCTAAAGACACCTTTGCTGAGAAATTCGAAATAAGAAAAATAGAACAAAAAACTGTTTTTTAAGAGCCACCCTAACTCAATTCAAGAAAATAGCTCTAAATCGGCCAATTTAAGAGATACAAAAAAAGTTATTTTAACAAAGTTGCTTGAAATTAGCTCAGCTATAACTTTGCGGAACAATGTATACCTTAATTTATTCAAACAAAAAAGTTAGATTTTTGATTTTAATGATAATAGGAACCACCCTGGAATTCATTGTCATAAAAATGAGGGCCTAACTATAAGGAACAACTTAGTAGAAGAGACTTTTAGTCTAAAGTTTCAGTTTCAGGCTCAAAACATATCATTCCACCTAAATCTGCATTCTGGACCACTGTGCACTGACGGACATCGATTGCCATCCATTGACGGCAATCGAATGTGCAGGAAGGCCGCTTCCACACCTGCGTAGGATATCGCACCCATTCACAACACACATGGGCCGGGACCAACGGCTTTACTTCGTGACCAGAGATTTTTATGCCTCAGAAAAATCCCACCGATCTCGACTGGGATTGAACCCAGACCCATTGGGATGTTAGAAAGCAGTCACGCTTACCACTACACCACCGACGCCGGCTACTAGAAAACATGTCTGGTACCTCTATATATGCATTTAGTTTAACATTTGACGTCCATCCTCTTTTACATATTCTGGACAAAAGATACTTTCTGCCCCGCCTCATTCATAAAAATCGGCGGGAAATTCTGCGAGGGGTGAGCTATTTTATGTGCAGAATGTGTAAAAAAAGGAAGGACTTCGAATATTAATATAAATGCATTTATAGAGGTACCAGACATGTTTTGCACTGCACTGTCCTCTGTGAGCAATTAACTGAAAACAGATTATGAGTAGTTTTCGATAGATGTCACTGCAAACAACAGCAAGTTGATTATAGATCCAGATCGCGAAATTGGTGATAAGAACAATAGATGTTGATGAGAATTTAAATAGGGCAGAGAACTACTTCGGCCTAATCACCCATTTTGGGCCTATCGAGCAGAAAACATCAAATAAATCCGTGGTTTCGCCGTTAACAAGTCAATTATGTATTTGGTACGATACTTTAGTTCAAACTAGAGAGGGTCTAGTATAAGAGAGGAGCGGATTCCAAACAAACTGCCTTGGCAACCTATGCCACTGCCAATGCAATCAAGATAGGTACTGCTCGATTGGCTCTGGCTTTGACAGTTTGTTTGGCTCAAAATCAGCCAGTCCGCTCTCTTATATTAGTCCCTCTCTAGTTCAAACGCTACCAAACGAAATCAATAAGAACGCGTAATGTGAATGTTTGCACCCATTATTCTCAAAAACAAAAGAAACGCTCTGACTGAATAAACTTTTATCTTAATTCGATAGGCCGAAGTGAATTCAATGACGTTTCCATGCAATAGGCCGAGTTCAGAACTCGTAGACCGAGTTTGGGGTCAAGAAGGAGTGTTAGATTTTTAACAATATCTCTACAATTTGTCACTTTTTATCAAATCTTACGGTACGCAAGGAAAGGTAAATAAATTTAGAAGGCATCTGCAGTAAAACATTATATTTTGTGAAAAAAATTCGCTCGAAAAATAAAGACAAAGGACGGGTTGTGCTCAGTAGGCCCAAAATTGGATCTGAGCCCTATGTTGTTGAATGGGAGAAAAATGTTCAAAGTCTCGGACTTGGACAAATTTTGACAATTTTAAGACAATCGATTTCAAAGATCTAGGATATAGAAACTTTTGCAACATTTCAAAAATCTCTAAAAAACGGTCGCCCAAATTTAAACGATAATTTAGCTGTATTTTCTCGCCAAAACACTTCACCCAATCTACAAAATACGACTGATTTCGAGTTGCCGATAATAGAAAAGCAATTTAACACGAAGTTCAAATAGAAAGGATGCCGAAGAAAATGAGGTTGCCGATAGTACTTATACTCACCTGAAACGTTTGCTGCCGCTAATCGCGTAGCAGTCCCATGTTAATGGGAAATTCCTAGAACTTGGAACTATTATGCGAATAGCGTCAGTTTGGAGCGTTGTAAAAGTGATTCAAAACAGTTCTCTTAATTGGAATGGATAGAGCATCAAACAGCAACGTAAACAAACAAACACGTCAAATGAGTGCGTTACGCTGAGGAAATACAAATAGAAGCACGGATGCTGCTTAGACTGATGAGAATACTTAAATTCCATTACATATTCGAGTTAGAGAAAAGGAAATAATTAAACTAAAATTAAATGAAACTATGCATTACTAAGGACTGTATCGAAAATACTTTTTTCTTCCAAATCCGTAAAAAGATATGATTTAATAAAAAAAATCAGGGTCATCTCTTATGCATTTCATGTCCTTCTTTTAAACTTAACAAAGTAAACAAAAAAATAGCATGACTGGTATTATGTTAGATGTAGTTCTTCTTATAAGGTTTTGGACCATGCATTTTCGTGCTTTTTTAACGCATCGTTACAGTATATTTTTGACTATTTCATGGTTTTAGAAATCTTAATATCCTTTTGAAGATGCCCTTTACAATTGTCATTCAGCATCAGCACATTCAATAGGTTATAGCTGCGAACAAGTTTAATTGGGTCGCTCTCGGCGAAAATCAAATGTTGAAAGTTGTTGTGTTTTCAACACAACCTTTTCCATGGATGCTAAAGCTACTAAGATAATGAAACAAATTCTAAAAATATTGTACGATGTTTACAATAAGTGCTTGAAACCTGTTGCGTCACACGGTCCAAAATTTCTAAGACGACCAAAATCTTAGATTATAAAAGTATCTAAGAGAAAAAAAATAATTTGTTTTTTAAGAAGGACATGACATACACAATTAAAGAACTTTTTTTTAATTTCATAATATTTGTTATGGATTTGGATAGCAATATATGTTGACAAGTTGTTTTCGATACAGTCCTTAAGCCTGCAAAAGATTCTTGTAAAATATATACCATAAGTTGATTTCTAGAGCGGTGTCCACATTACCACTATGGCCACCTTTAACCAATTATTGAGAAAGAAGGGGCTGTGAACAGCCGCTGTTTAATAACAATGTGGACAGTTTAGAGTCCACGATTAATACACTTAGTCGATTTCTGTCTACTCAAGGGAAGGTATGGGTGGGCAGTGATTCTGACAATCGCTCAACAACATTCTCCTTAGTTTGGGGACTACTTCTACGGTAGTTCAATTCTATTTGAACAAAGTAAGCTTAACCTTCCTAACGCATTAGGAAAATATACACAGCGTTTCCAGGCCAAAAATGACCCCCAATGCACTACGAAGGTTAAACCAGCTTCGAGCAAACTACATAAACCTAAAATTATATCAATTTCAGATGCATAAAGATCAATACCTACAATATTGTCTAGAGATAAAATGGGTATTGAATCCTTCCTTGAACACAAATAATAAAGAGCCCGCCAACACTCACCTGGCGACATTGGCGTTAAACTTTCCTCATTCCGCACCGGTGTGTATGTTTTCTCGTAATCCGGTGAACCCTTGAGGGGAGGCGTTAGCGATTCCATACATTCGAGCAACGAATCCTCACTCTCGGAGATGGTTTCTATACTTGATATCGACTTCACTCGTTTCTTCTTCCGTTTCTTGGATTTCTTGTTTTTCTTATGTTTCTTGTCTTTTTTGCTCTTTTTTCGCTTGCGGCCTACAGTTTCCTCCTCCTCCTCTTCCTCCTCTTCTTCTTCCTCTACGATTTCATACTCTTCTTCCTCTTCGACGTACTCTTCGTCCATTAGGTCACCCTCCGGTTCCGGTTCTTCCGTCGGCGAGGCCGGTGGTTCAAGATGATGCTGGGTGAGATGCATGGTGGCCTGTTTCATAGAGGAAGTATCGGATGATATTGAGTTTTTACGTTTCGATCGGGAAGAATGCGAATGCGACGATTGGCTAATAGGCGACGTGGCAGTGATGCTGACCCTTCGCCCACTCTCCGTCACGGTGACGGAACCGGTAGCAGTACCACCTTGCGATATGAGTTCGGCCAACGATGGAACCGGCACCGGTGTCGTACTGGATACCATCGCACTGGTTTCGTTTGCCACGTCCGCCGACGGCGTTACCGGAGCTGCCGCTACCGGTGCCGACGACGACAACGACGATGAACTGGGAAGCGAAGAAGCTGCACCCGTCATCACCCGGTCATGCTGAATTTGAGTAGTATTTTTACTGTACAATTTAACCGTCTCCGCAGCACTTTTTTCGTTGTTACTGATCGTTCTACTAAAATTGCTGCTCGACTCATTTCCGGCCGCGCCGGCGAAGGGTGAGCCACTGCCGTCGGTTTCAATCTCGCCCGCTTCCGGTGCAGAGAAATCGTCCGAACTTACATCGGAATACTCGACCACTCCTCCCTTGGACGAACCGTGACCTCCTCCTCCGTTTCCCGTGCTGCTTCGGCCACTCCCCTCGCCGCTCTTGCGATGCACCTTGCTCCGTCGTTCGTCCGAGGACGATTGTTCTTCGTCACTGGATACGTGTCTCCTTTTCTTGGACTTTTTGCTCTTCTTCGAACGCTTCTTCGCATGTTTGGACCGCTTTGGACTGCGCTCACGATCCCGGTCACGTTCCCGTTCCCGTTCGCGATCCATGCTGATGCCACTTCTTATATTTTTTAGTTAACTCAATTCAATAAAAAACAAAAACAAAGACTAGTTTCGTTTATCGAGTCGTTCTTCCGATTCTGAACCCGATCGATCCTTCTACAAAAAAAAATGCAATGTGATAATTTCTTCTTCTTCGTGTGTTGCACTAAAATGCTTTGGTAATTGGATTACACTTCGTTGAGTTTGATAAATACTCAGTAATCAATAGAAAAGTGGTTACTGAATATTTTTTTTTTATCTGTGAGCTCCGTCTGCCTAGATGCGCAAGCAACCACCGAGAATGTGTGTGTGTGCGTGTATGTGCGCTTTGCTCTTCTTCTATTGGTTTTCACTTGTCACACTACTGACAGAATTTGGGAACTTTCTCGTGAGCTTGGTGGTGGTAGTGGTTGGTGTTCGTTTTGTAGTAGGTGTAGAAGATATTGCATCACTTTTGGCCGCTGTTATCTGTTAGCCACATACGAGTTGTATTCCGCTCTCTGGAATTGAGGCAAGAGAAGAAAAACACGGTATTATAATACGGTTTATGTGGATGAAAGGTTATCTAACTTACTTTCTTAATCTTGTGAGTTGAAACGCTGTTAGTTTAATTGTGCATAGAAAAGGCCAATGGTTAGTTTTGGGTTGGTTAGGCAGGTTTGTAGACCGAGAATGGTCGTGGACCCAAAAGGAGGTCGATGGTTTTGGTGATCTATCTAATTGATTTAGTTAGAAGATGAGAATATTAATTCATTATTAGAGTGACATGATAAATCGAAAAACATTGATCGAGTGTATTTGATTTGATGTTGATATGTTTTGTGCTTCTTTCAATTAGAATAGGATTCAAAATTCGCAAATTTGCCAGTATATTAATTATAAATAATTTTTAAACGTAACATGTATAAAAGGGATCTGGGGTTACGAACGATTTAGGATCTCGGGGGGTTGACGCCGTTCAACACATTATGATAATAAAGAACTGCAAACTGATTGCACTGTATAGACTGATCCACTTACTAAGTTCCCGAGTATCCACAAGCGTAAAGCACAACACACTTTAATGGAAATGCTCTAATGATCACGAAAAGCATGGATTAAAATTATATGCAAAGGTCTCATGCAACTGTTAGATGGTGGAAAATAGTCTTCGATTTCATATTCAGTTTGCTGATGAGATCAATTGTCTTCTAAAAACACACGAGGTAGGGAGGGGTAGTTGCGCAGTTTGATTACCTTAAGCAAATCATCACTAATGATACCAAATTCAGTGGATAATTCGAATGATTTTTAACCAAATTGATAGTTTCAAGCAGTGATGCAAAATATCATGACACTCACTCGACCTTCGTCAACGCATCAACCGACTATGGCTGACAGAACGTTTTTTCACGCAGGCTTTTAATTTCAGATGCGTAACAAAGGGGATAAGACGAGGTAGAAAATTAAGAAGAAGCGGATGCTTTTAATTCCTGAAATTAAACAATGACGAATTGTCGATTAGTAGATGGTTGTAGTTGATAGGTTCAATCATTATTTCTCAGCTGTTTCTTCTCCTATTTGGTGGTGTTGCCGGGTCCTTCTTTTTATCCGACTCCTCTCTTGACTGGTTCCAATCGGTTCGATCTATCCTGGTTGCTGCCGCTTCGTGTTTGATTTGATTGGGGGTCCTTCACTGATGCTTTTTCGTTACTTTTTCCTCCTATACCTCTTCTAGCTGTGTCCCTATGTAATTCCCGGTTCATACGCGAAAGGGAGAAGGAAAATAGGACAGGTTTAGTGTTTAGCCGTACACACTGTGCCGATCACCGCACCTTACTCGTGCGGTTCTTCTTGGTGCTGATGCCCAACCAATCAACCATTTCATTTACCACGCTGTGATATAGTGAGCGAAATATTATGATGGAATATGAATAATAGAAGAGCACTAGACTTCAACATAACGCCACCTCACTGACCATGGCATAATGACAAGCAAAGTGAACCACACAAACCCTGCCCACAAAAAAAAACGACAGGCCCCTCTCAAATATTACGCCAGATACATAACTTGGAACCTGTCGCCTTGTATGAAAAGGCATGAGGCTGGCTTCATTAATAAAGAATGCCAAGCTTCGAGGAGGAATATTATGATGAGTGCCACGACCTGTAGCACTAACTACACTCACATTCTGCATAACATCACCAGCCTACCTACCCCTAGTATGAGGTCGCAACCAAACGAGCTCAAATTTTGCGAGAATTACCAGAACCTGATTTGGATTCGTTTGAGCTGATAGATAATTTTTACCACCCTAATATCATACGAAGAATTTTGGGTGATATTTCAAACTTCGATTTGATGACCCATTTGCCCTAATAACCCCTTCAGACTAATGGAATTCGAACTACATACTGGAATCCACCTGATGGCCCATCTACAAAAAAATGTTCGATTGATTTATGATTGAAATGTTTGATGTTTTGCTGAACTCTATTCCCAGGGTAGCCACTGAATTTGGAAAATTAAATTGTAACGTTAGGTTCGATTGGTTGTTAAGCCATCGTTTTAAGCTACAATATTAAATAAGGAAATCGCAAAAACTCACGAAATGCAAGGCAAAGGTAATCGACACTGTAAGACCCCTTGGATGCACAACTGGCACTGCGAAGCACACTCTAAAAAATCCTCACGTCCGATTTACGTGAAATATCACGTAACTGATCTGTATTTAGAAAATCTCAAATGTTACGTGACGTTAGTAACTTTGACCTGCATTACACGTCATGTCCACTAAAAATGTTGGTGAAATCGACCGGTTATTCACATAAACAGATTTAGTGTATTTGTATTTGTGTGTTTGGGTCTTCGATATTTCCGCGAAAAGAGATTTACGTGATTTTCAGGTACGCAAAAAAGTCAATATGGCGTCACCAAGCGTGGTGGAAGAACAGCTCAAAAATTCAAAATTTCCGAGCAGCTTGCTACAAATATTGGACAGTAATTTGATTCATTTACATTAATTTATTTATGATTATATGTAGCCTTTTTCTAGTTTTATAATTTCAGACGGTGGCATCAGCATTTTGAGTCTGCAAGCAGTTATTAATATGTTGACGACAATAAAAAATCTCATAAACATTTCTACCTAACAAGTAGTCAATAATTTGCAATTTTATGAGTAAATATAAGTATCAATCTATTTATATCTACCCGATGAAATTGCATAATATTGACTGCCTCTATAAGTTCCATTATTCTCATTCAAAATTCACGTAAAACATTTCAAACGAAGCGGAATATCACGTAAAAGTTAACAGTTTTCCAGTAGTATTCACCCCGATTTCACGTAAGCAGTACATGGAAATCAGGTCTTATTTACCTACATAATTACGTAGATAATCGAAGCTAAGTTTTGATCGGCTACGTGCAATTCCGGTAAAAGTTACGTGAAAAATAGGGTGGACGAAAACCACCTATGTTTTCACGTAAATCGCACGTGACAATTTTTCAGAGTGCAGTAAACGTCAAACCTAGAACACTGTACCAAAACATCATCATCTGTTCGAATGAAACGTCAGACCATTCAAACCGAAACAACGGAATCGCTTCTAATACAGGATGAACATTGATTCGAGGAACGAACGGACGTCAGTTAAAATACGCAATGCTCTCTGTAGAATGATTGTCTTCCCAAACAGAAATGCACGTGGTGTTGGTTCAGCCCCATAAAGTAAATCATCCAAAACGATGATGAAAATAATTCTATCGAACGTCATTTGCTGAACTATATTGACATACGACGTGGAAACATAGTAATCGCAGGGTGTCCATTCAAATCCAATTTTTCAATTCCCGTTTTTCCCCGGTTATTTGAAAAATAAAACCCAAACATCCCTGCCTTAAACAAAAAAGGCGTTCAAAAATAACCGTTTATAGATAAACATATTTTTCAGCACAATTGCTCTACAATGCGTCTACTTTGTAGACAAAATATGACATGAGAGTAACATTAACATGTTGATGATCTAGATCTCCAAAATCTCATGAAATCGTGAATTCGTATAAAATCAAAGAGTCTCCTGCAAAAAGTTAGCCTAAATATTATTTTGGTATGTCGGAAAAGGAATATATCAATACAAGAGACCTAAGCAGGATAATTGCAGTATTTAAAGTTCTTCGTATCATCCTGGAGTTTAGGTCTTGAAGTTCTATAAGACAAACAACATTTTTGTGAGTTACTAAAAAGATTACTAAAATGTTTATCATTTTCCAAATTGTCCTGGAGATCTTGACTAACCATATACCAAACTTCCACTACAAAGTAAGCCGCGCACATTTGCCCCCAATCCTTGTAAATTGGGAGCAAATGTGCGTGGATTATTTTGCAGTGGAAGTTTGGTATATGGAATCGGTAATGTGAATGGAAGAAGTGTATAGTATTCAGAAATAGAAGTGGTGAAAGTGGGCGGTCAGCATCACATTACATTATGTTTGGAGAAGAACAGGATCCGGCTAAACATTTTGTGCGATCCATCCATTTAGTAAAAATTAAATTTATTCCAGTATATAACACAAAATATTCAAAAACTAAATACGACAGGGCATCGTTTGCTGGCTGTGCCGCGGGTATTGTGGGTTTCCAGGTACCCGGTTTAAGCTTCAGTTGGCTGCGGTGGCTCTTCTTTTCCTTCTACCCCTGAATATATAGGGTGAATAAGGGCGTCTATGTTTTGCTGTGCCTGTTGTGGACCGAGGGAACGACACATCTAAATCTCAATTATAGATGCTCAACAAATGTCACACTAGTAAACCAATCTTCGAACAAATCTTCTTTCATTTCTCGCATCTACTTGCATCGCGCATCATCTTTTTGCAGGAAATTTTCAGAATCATTATCAATCTTCTTTCTATCTACTCAGCGTGCGCGCAGCTAATCACAGCAAAACACAATTTTTCTTGCATCGTAGATAGAGTCGGACATTAGTACATCATTTTCCTCAAACTTGTTGAGGACGCCTTGTCTTGCCTCAAAAGTTATCCTTTTTAAAGTACCTAAAACGGGGTATCTTTGACAATGCGGGTAACTTTGATAGTATTATATAAAGAATAAATTTACTCGCTGTGCTTTTTCCAAATAAGAAACATTGGTTCCATATTGTAGCTTAGGATATTTCCGTTGATATCGTATATAGTTTTTACATAGTATGTGTTACATCTTCTTCTATATATATAAAAATGAATTTCTGTCTGTCTGACCCTTATAGACTCGGAAACTACTGAACCGATTGGCGTGAAAATTTGTATACAGGGTTTTTTGGGGCCGTGGAAGGTTCTTATGATGGTTCGAGACCCCTCTCCCTTTTGTAAGGGTGGGCTCCCATACAAATGAAACAGAAATTTCTGCATAACTCGAGAACTAATCAAGTAAATGGAACCAAATTAGGCATGTGGGTCGAGTGTGGGGGTATAAGGAGATAATCATAGGGGGTAGCCCCTTAGATAATAGGGGGCTACGTA